GGGTTTAGGGTTTAGGGTAGGATACTGACAGCCAGAGATTGAATGCATGAGCCCATATCCGAGAAATCAAGCACCGCGAACAAGCCTTAGAAAGCACCGAGTGATCTCGGGTTGGGGGTGTTCATGTTAAGAATGGACTGGGTTTGGGGCTCTTGCCAGATACAGGGCCGTCCAGGGCTTTGAGAATTCACAAGAAACAAAAGACCAATGAAGGGAGAGCCCTAACCCCTAAAGCTTAACAACCTTAAACCCTAAGTCCTTAGCCCCAAACCCTACACCCTAAAACCCTACACCTTAAATTCCTAAATCCTAAATCCCCCAACCCTAAAAGCCCCAAATCCCCAAAAGTCCTAAACGCCCTTGACAGGAGCGCTACTACCCTGGCGACATGAACCGAAGGCCGGGCCTCGTCCTCCTCGAGGCCCTCTCTGAGAGGGTTAGAAGGGATTTATAGGGGTTTTGGGATTTATAGGGGTTTTCGGATTTATAGGGGTTTTGGGATTTTAGGGGTTTTGGGATTTAGGGTTTGGGGATTTAGGGTTTGGGGATTAGGGTTTGGGACTTTAGGGTTTGGGAATCTAGGGTTTGGGAATTTAGGGTTTGGGGATTGGGTGGTTTAGGGGTTTAGGGATTTCTGATTTAGGACATTCAGGGTTTGGGATGTAGGGCTGACAACTTGTAGCCGATCAAAGCTGCCTTTGCAAGATTCACTATATGATGGTTTGTACATGTAACTCCTCAGAAAGGTAAGATAGGGGCCTGAATGATTACCAATACTGTTTATGGGGGGGGTCCTTAATATCAATATAGTATACTAGGCACAAAAACCCTGTTCTCATTATTAAGGCCCGTCTAGTAGGCATATGGGGCCGCCGGTTGTCAATAACAAGACCCCCTTGTAGCCTATGGTCCTTGTGAGATCATTCTGCACTATATCCCAGAACAGTAAAGAGTCCCGTTTTCATAGCCCGGAAGCTTTGAGCACAGTAATATTTTCAGATGCATCCTTATGAGAAGGTTCCTGCTAAATAGGGCTTCTATAGGGATCCCTCCCTTTCTCATGCTTCTTGTGGTACCGTAGTCCCTGATCTCTTTCGCTTCCGCAAATTTATAACCGGTACCCGAATATCATTAGTTTAGGGTTTAGGGATTAGGGTTCAGGGATTATGGTTGAGGGTCACGGGTTTAGGGTGTAGGGATTAGGACCCCTAGTGCCAGAGGTTCAGTACCCAAGGTCCCCATAAGACTAAGCAGTTAACACCTCAACCTGAGCGTAAACTGCTATAACCGAATCAGACGGCGACAACTCTCCATACGGTTGATGGACAAAATCCTGCATGACCTTATATACCGAAGCTATGAGATTTATGGTACTATACTATATTTGGGTCATGCAGAATTTTGTCCATCAACAGTATCAATAGTCGCTGCAGGGATAGTGATGGTTTGCAGAGCTGCAGACCCTAAACCCTCAACCTTAGATCCTAAACCGTAGCTAATGTTTGCAGCAGCAATCCTCGCAGCGTTACCCCAAGACTTGATCGCTGGAAAAGGTGAGACCTACAAAACGCTTCGTAAGAGATCCAGAGAACCCCCTTGGGCAGGAGTTCGAGGATCCCATGGTGCAGATGTCTCATGGCTTGTAGAGTTTTGGGTTTCAGGGTTTCAGAGTTTAGGGTTTGGAGGTATAGGGCTTCAGGGCTTCAGGGTTTAAGCTTTCACTGGTTTGGGTGTGCGCGTCGCGTTTTCGGGATCTACGCGGGCTTTTGATCAGCATGTGAGTTTAGGATTTAGCATGATTTAGCGATATTCAGGGTTTAGGGTTTAGGGGCTTCGGGGTTTAGAACCCTAAACCCTAAACCGCGGTTTTGGGTTTTGGGTTTAGTTCATACAAGAGCCTCGGGCAGTCTTGTGTGAACCGTCATTTGTTTGTCTCTTCCGCAGGGTGTTCAGAATGTTGCGTCGGCTGCAAACAGGCAAACCCTAAGCCCAGGACCCTAAATCCTACGGTATACTTCAAGTTGTTGTGTTCCCGGGCCTACCTCACCCGGGCTATGCTGGAGCTTCTCATTCTTGTGAGTCTGGTGCTGAGCCATCAATCTCAACAATTCACGAGTGCTAGCTGGATGCTCCTTTATTCGCCTTGCGGCCACAAGCGCGAGGGCCTGAGCAACAGGTATGTATATGGGTAGTCATCAAAATTGTGGTCCCTTTTGGGGTACCCTAAATAATAGGTGCCGTATTATAATAAGGACCCAAAAAGGGACCATCATTTTGACAACCACCCATATTCACAGGCTTTCTGCTACCATGAGCCTGCCCTTTGCCTGTCAACTCGCCAAGCGTGCTCAACAATTCACCTACCTATATCCTAGTACATGGCAAAAAAGCTTATAGTATGGGGCTAGAGTAATCATGATAACGACCATACGCGTAGTGACGTGAACTACAGCGATACCAGTAATGTCTGTAGCAACCATAGCAGCAAGAATCCTAGACCCCAAGCCCTAAACCGATCCTACAAAGCCCTTTGCAGCTCCTCTGTTCCATCTCAAGGAGGGTGGTGCCCTCGAGGCTCTATCCAGGCAACGCCCGACTGTAGAGTTCAGGGTTTGGCGGCCTTCATAGGTCGCCGTTAAAGGAGGACCCCTTAAAGGATCTGTTAAGGGATCCCCGAGAGGATCATGAGGTCCCGTAATTCGAGGATCCTTTGCTAATGAAATCCGTATGTGCAAGCGGAAGCTCAGCATGCGTAGACTGTAGCCCTCTTCCGTCGCCGCGCATCAATGACTAGATGTAGATTCCTCTCGTGCTTGTCCTTCTATGCTCTTGTTCATGATGATGTTTGTGATTGTGAAGACCCCATTGTGATTGTCTCGATACCCTACGCAAGAGAAAGGGCGTGCACTTGTGTGGGTATGAGAACCGGGCGCATCTTGATTCGGGGCTGCAGGGATTTGCGCTGGTTGCTTGACTGACGGGTTGCCCATGGGCCCCAGAGTAGTTCCCTTTTTGGGGTTCATATTCAGAATCCTATAAGGTAATCCCAAAAAGGAACTACTGTGGGGCCTATGGGTTAGTAGCAGACTTGAAATGCGATGAACTTCAAATAAACTGGAGCTGAAGAAGCTTCGGCTCGACCTCTTCACGTACTTGTCCGGGTCGTTGTGTTCTTCGGTTTTCGGTTTTGGGGTTTAGGGCTTTGAGGTTAAAGCATTTAAGCTGTTTCGGGTTCAAGGCCTATGCCACATGTGCTTGAACCCTAAACCCTAAACCCAAAACCCTAGACCCTAAAACAAACCCGTGGTGATCTCGGCAGGTATCAAGCTGGATTTCCAGGAGGCCATGGCGGAGCGTGGTTGCTCGCCAAGATACCTTGGAAGCCCCGTCCTCAAAGCCTCTACGCCTCCACCCAAGAGCACGGTCTTTGAACCCCTATAGCCCTAAACTCTAAACCTTATATACAAATCTATAAACCCTAAACCCTAAACCCTAAACCCTAAACTCTAGTTCCCAAAAATCCCTGAACCCCGAAAGACACACCAGCCCTCAGACCCCAAATCACCCACAGAGTCTCTAGCGTTTCGGGGACGGACTGTGCGATGTAACCCAACAAAACCCTATAAATCTCAAAAAGTACCTATAGTACGGTTTAGGGTTTAGGGGTTTAGGGTTTAGGGTTTAGGGTTTGGGGTTTACAAAAAGTACCTATAGTCTCCATTGTAGTTCCTTTTTTTGGTTTAGCCAAATATATAATAAGGATTGTATAAGGTATCCCCAAAAAGGAACTACAATGGAGACTATAGGTAGCTACAACGGGTCAAGAAAGCCTGAAAGAATAGGTGCCTGGACCCTTCAGGCTTGTTTCGATCTTGCATGTTTACGCCTGAAAAACCTACACCGACACCCAAGCCCATCCCGGGAATGCGGCGAGACCTGGTAGTGGAGTGGGTACCCTTAATCCTTGTTGGGTGCTATTCTGATCCTAGTCCCAATATAATCCAAAAAGTTCACTGTCAGTTCCCCTAGCATACTGGACACCTGTGAGGAACGCCGGACTTTCGAACGCTGATGGAAATGGGTAGTTCTCAAAATGAGGGTCCCTTTTAGGGTCCTTTCTATAAAGGTGCCGTACTAAGTTTGGGACCTGGGATCCTAACTCAGAGAACTACCCAAATACCGGCAAAAGAAAAACTCTAGGGCTTAGAACTTCGGGTCGAGTCCTCGACCTACACCCTGCAGACAAAGCCCTAAACTCCAAGCCCCTAAACCCTAAACCCTAACCCTAACACTAAACTCAAAGCCCCTATAAAGCCTCACACCCTTTTTGATCCTCAGAGGCTGTAAGCTCGTTGGTCTCGGTTCTCGGTACCTGGTGTCCACTTGAGCCTTGAGGTTACACCTGCCTTCGCTTCAAAGACGAAGTTCTGGTCTGCTGGAACTTAGACGCGACTCGCATGAAAGGTTTTACAAGGATTAAACCCTAAACCCTGAGCCCTTCACCCTAAACCCTAAACCCCAAACATTTTTAGGGCGCTGTAGGATCAGGGCTGGCAGGGTTTAGAAGCGTCTTCAAGGCTTTGCGAGACCCACACCCACACGGTCTTTTCTTTAGGGCTCCGCAGTGCAACTGTATACGGGGTTGAAATTTGCAACGTTTGCGTTGCAGAAAGGGATACACAGTTATGAGACTCCGGAGTATTTTCTGTACAGCTTTCTTCTGTTCAAGATTTGCAGGCTCGTGAGACTCTGCTGGTGGCTTTAGTTTTTGACATTTAGTCAGTGTAAGACGTCCATGCTTTGCACATGGTTAGAAGGTGCATGCTGCAGACCCTGTTGTCTTCGATAGTCGATGCTGAGTCTTGTTTTCATTATGGTTGCATGCTTCTGAGAGTTGGAAGGAGTCTTCATCGCCCAACACCAAAGGAAGCTTAATCTGCAATCTCCAACGGCCACCACGATCAACTCCCAATTGTTGAGGCCCCGTTGCTTGAAGGAGGGGATGGGGGCCTGAGTGGGTTGAGACCGGAATAATTACAGCTCGGACTGCACAACATGTAATCCACCATATGGGTAGTTCTCTAAATTAGGGTCCCTTTTTAGGTCGCCAATAATTACGGCACCCTCATAATAATGACCCTTACAGGGACCCTAACTTAGAGAACTGCCCATCTAATGCTAGACTCCCCTCTGGGCCTGCTGAATCATAGGGTTTAGGGTTTAGGGTTTAGGGTTTAGCTGAATCAAATTCTTGTCAGCCGGAAGAACCGTGAAGCTGTTGCCAAGGACTTCGTACGACCGAACTTCGTCCAATACGACGTCGGTTACGCATTCTCGAAGAAGTGCCGTGGCTTGTGTTTTAGTCTTAAGGTGTGCGAAATTCTGAAATCACCTGCAAAGATGGTAGAGTTCTCCTGTAGGGTTTAGGGTTCAGGGTGTAGGGTTTGCCTCGCTGTAAGGAACAAGCGCAATGGATCAGTTTGATGATGGTCAGGGTTTGGTCGGGTAAGGCAATGCTGAAAACGGCTCTGTAACGATTCGACAGGTCCAATCCCTTATAGCGGTTCCTGATGGCAGAGAGAATCAGCCCGATATGGTATATTGGTCAGTAGGTGTTTTGTGGCTCTGAGCTATATCCCTAAGGGTCCATGTACCCAAATACTAGATACTTTGGCCCCAAACTACCCACATAGGGACTACTTTAAGGCCAAAGTATCTGCTATTTGGGTACATGGACCCTTAGGGTATTGTAGGGCTTGGGGTTTAGGATCTTGAAGGAGGACTCCTGCATCTTCTCCGAGTCCTCTTCTGTCATCTGAAGCCTGCCGCCAGGGGTTTAGGGTTTCGGGTCCCTAAACCCTAAGCCCTAGCACTGTACAATTGTTGACCCAAGCCCTTTACCCTAAAGCTGCGTTTCGCAAGACGTGGCGGTAGCTCGAACCTCGTGAAAGCTAGCCTGACGCAAGCCGACACCTTGCCTAATATAGCGGCCTTAATAATTAGAATAGGGTTTTGTGGCTCCTTATACTATAATTACAGTAAGGAACCTCCAAAAATGAAAACTGTAATGATTTAGGCCCCTCTATTGAAGCATGGCCGTCAACGGGGGAAGTTCACTGTGAACCCGGCCAAATCTGGCCTTTGCAGTCCACTATAAGGCATCTTTGAGGGGATGTGGGGGGGGGGGTACATCGGCACATCAACATTTATAGTTTCAGTATATGAAGGAAGGTGTTTTTAGACTACATACCCTGACACTGCGGCACGCTAAGGAAAGGAACGCCCACTATGAAGTGCATCTGGGGTGACAAAGGTGCTCAAGCTTGCAACGTCTGCTTCAGCGAGTTGACCCTTGGACTTCACGACTAGAATGGTCTTTAGGGTTTAGGGTTTAGGGTTTAGGGTTTACGGTTTAGGGTAATCGCAGAAAACCGACAATATATTATACATGTAGGTAGGACCCTTAAAATAATCAGAGCAGGGTCTGAACCGAGTTTCGCGGCATGGTATAATATAGTCAGAATAAGGAACCCTTTAGAAAGCCCTGATGGCTGGAACCCTTATAAGTAGTACCCCTCACAGCACCCTTACCAAGAGGGTCCGTATATACTACGTACACTCTGGATATAAGTTCCCAAAACCATAGTAGGGATGGTCTTTTGGGACCGACTTCCATAATTGCAGTGTATATGGACCCTCTGGGTTACTCTTGCAATGAGCACCGAGATCTGAAACCCTGAAGGATCACGAAGCTGAAGCGTGGCGAGACGCTGGAAAGTCACGACCCGGCCTCGCTGGAGGATATGTCCAAGCACCGCGGATCCGAATTCGATCTCATTTGGACCTACAGCAAAGTCCTTTTGCTTTTAGCATTTAGGTCGTCTTGTTGTTCAGGAGTTGGTATGCTGGTGGTTATCCGAATTATATCGTTCCCTCTACGGTTCCCAAACGGGTATTCGACACAAGACCCCACTCTAGCCTGATACCGCCTGATACCTTATTATTTTCGCTCATCTTTCATATTGCTCATGGACAAAATGCTGCATGACCCAAATATAGTATAATACCACAAATCCCATAGTTTAGGTATATAAGGTCATGCAGGATTTTGTCCATCAGCCGTAGTACACATGATGTTTACCAGCTCACCACCAGTCCACCAATCTTGCGGCAGTTAATGTGGGTACCTGCACCTGCCGACCTGCACCGACGGATGGATTGATGCATGCATGTGTCTGTCTGCATGCAGAAAATTAATACATATACGGATGCAGCATACGGAGAATTATGTATACGAAGGGAAGTATTTGTGTGTAATTACGTAAATACGAATACACTGCAAGATAGCACAACGGCAAGAAATAAATATTACATACATATGTATATGCATGTACATTGGTGTGATCTGATATGAATGATATGATATGTTAAGATGTGATACGGTATTATATTTATGTGTGTGCGTGTGTGTGTGTGTGTGTGTAGGTGCGTGTTGCATGTGTGCATGTAGGTGCCAACCATGCCCTAGAAGCCAAGTTATGTGCACAGTAGAGTTCTGTTTTAGGGCCTTCTCTACCCAGACCGTCCAATATCACTTAGTTAAGGAATATAGCGTCAATTCTATTAGGGATCCTATTATGGTTTAAAATATGTTCCTTAATTACGGTATGTTGGAAGGTCTGGGTACAAGCCCTTCATATATAAACGCAGTATAACAAGCCAATGTCCATTGCCATTCACCAACCAAAGGAGCTGTACAAAAGTCGATCAGATAGACCCCGGAAGCCGAAAAACCATGGCCAAGCCGCCTAGATATGAACCCTAAACCCCTAAAACCCAAGCCGCCTTAATGCATATGATTGGTTTAGGGTTTAGGGTTTGCATATGATCCCTTGTCAAGCCCTAAATTACGCAACCCCATGCAGATCCTCAGCTGGTCGCACAGGTATGCCGCACACGAGGGCGCGATGCTCCGGATAAAGCACAAGCCCTCTGGGATTCCTGGCGTTTAAGTGTAACCAATGTTATGTTTAGGATCTTTTATAGTATCCTATAGTGTCCATTGCCATTGCAATTGTGGTTCCTTTTTCTTTGGTTTAACCAGTCTTATATGTAGGATCCTAAACGGTAACCCACAAAAGGAACTACAATGGATACTATGGGAAGACCTCAGCAGAAGGGTCGAAACCCTAAACCCGAAACCCCAAAGCCTGAACCCGACTCCCTAAACCCTACACCCCAAACCCTAAATCCTAGACCCTTTTAAACCCCACACAAACCCTAAACCCTAAACCGAAACCCCAAATTCAAAGTCTAGACGCCTAAACAGTCTCACCACTGAGGTCTTGGATCAATGTCGTGGCGCTACACCTTCAAACTCCGAGCACAGACTCGACGGGCGAGCGGCTGGCTTTGGTCAGCTTGTACGGTTTCAGGGCTCTCTAAGGCTCCATGTACCTATATATATATATATATATATATACACATATATATATATATATATATACATATATATATATATATTGTAGTAAAGTGGCCTAAATAATTACCTAGACTGTTTTGGGGGGGGTTCCTTGTTATCGTTTTAGTACAATATACCGTAATCTACCCCTCAAAGCCCTGTTCTAATTGTTAAGACC